TCCCGCATCGGGCTCCCTGCTCGGCAGGGAGTCTGCTTTGCCCTCTGACCCTATCCCCTCTCATGTGTTCTCTCTCATTCTCTCTCTCTCAAATACATAAATAAAATCTTAAAAAAAAAAAAAAACTTACAGTGTTAAAACTCAACAATAAAAAGACAAATAACCTAATTTGAAAATGAGCAAAATATTTGAATTGATTTTTCTCTGAAGAAGATAGACAAAGAGCCAGTAAGCACATGAAAAAGATAAAAGGTGCTCAACATCATTAATCAGTATGGAAATACAACTCTAAGCCATAATGAGATACCACTTCACACCCACTCTGAAGGCTAAAATTAAAAAAGACAGATGTCAAGAAATTGAAACCCACATACAATGACGGTGGTAAAATTGTGTCGCTGCTTTGAAAAATATTTTGACATTTCCTCTGAAAGTTAAATATAGACTTATTATATGATTTAACAATTCCACTCCAGGTATAGACTCAAGAGAAGTGAAAATATATGTCTACACAAAATTTTATATGTGAATGTTCATAGTAGCATTATTCATAACAGACAAAAGAGGGAAACAGCCAATTGTCTACCAATTGATGAATGAATAATCAAAATGGATATATATGTGTACACACTTTATATTATTATATTATCAGTCATAAGGAGAAATGAAATACAGATAATTGTCACCTTGAACCAGCAAAGATCAACCTTGAGAACACTCTGCTAAGTGAAAGGAGGCAGTCACAAAAGACTATTATATATGATTCTATCTACGGGAAATGTCCACAGTAGGCGAACCTAGGCAATGGCTTCATGGTTGCCGGGGTGGGGGGGGGGCCGGAGGAGGAGGGAATAGAAAGTGCTAATGGGCACGGTGTTTCTTTTTGAGGTGATAACAATGTTCTGGAGTTAGATCGTGGTGATAGTTGTACAACTTTGTGAACAGACAAAGTCACTGAATTGTATACTTTTTCTTTTAAAACAAGATTTTTATTTTTTTTTTTTTGAGAGAGAGCAGACGGAGAGAGAGAGCATGGGCGGGGGGAGGAGCAGAGGAGGAGGGAGAAGAGCGGAGGCCTCTGGCAGACCGCGGGCGCCGCCAGCCCTTTAGGTTGCAGGGTCCCACTCATGCGGCGGGGCCGGGGGGCCTGGAGGCGTCGGCGACCCCGGCCCCCAGCCCTGCCGCTCGCCGAGCCCCCGCCTCTCGCCGAG